AAAGGGCGGGCATGGCGTTCCGCCTGAGACTTCCTCAACAGTTCTGACCCTGAAGCTGAAAACATGATCGACCCACGAACCCGGAAAGGAAGATAGTAATGTAAGGCATGGCTACGTGTTCAAAGACATCTGATTGGGCGACGGGCAGATGAAATGCTGAATGTACCGATCTTGATGTACCGTACCTAGGGCTGTGCTGTGCTGCGACGTGCTGAATTGCGATGTGCCATGCCGCGATTGTGCTCTGTGGCGTTGTGGATCGAGTCCTCCTTTGCACCCGAGTCCTGACCGAACTGATCTGGATCTTAAGATCGAGCTGCCTGAGCACATAGTAGCTGCCGCAGAGCTCAGTGACAGGGGAACACGCCAGGTGGACGCGCCGCGAAACGTCCCAAGGGACGCGCCAAGCGGCGTGCCAAGGGGACGTGCCATGGGGACGCACCGCGGGACGTGCCAAGGGGACGCGCTACGGAACGTGCCAATGGACGTGCCACGGGACGTGCCAGTGGACGCGCCGCGCGACGTGCCAGGGGGACTCGCCACGGGACGCGCCACGGAACGTGCCAAGGAACGTGCCAGGTTGCAATGCTGAGTGTGTCGGTCTTGATGTACCGTGCCTTGGGCTGTGCTGTGCTGCGCCGTGTTGAACTGCGATGTGCCATGCCGCGACTGGTTTCTATAGCGTTGTGGATCGAGTCCTCGTCTGCATCCGAGTCCTGACCGAACTGGTCTGGATCTTAAGCTCGAGCTGTCTGAGCACATAGTAGCTGCCCCAAAGCTAATTGACAAGGGGACACGCCAGGAGGACGCGCCGCGGAACGTCCTAAGGGACGGGCCAAGCGGCGTGCCAAGGGACGTGCCATAGGGACGCACCGCGGGACATGCCAAGGGGACGCGCTACAGAACATGCCAATGGATATGCCACAGGACGTGCCAGGGGACGCGCCGCGCGAAGTGCCAGGGGACTCGCCACGGGACGCGCCACGGAACGTGCCAGGTTGCAGTGCTGATTGTATCGATCTTGATGTACCGTGCTGAAGGCTGTGTTGGGGACTCCTGTGGCATCCTGGGGCGTTAGGAACCCATGTGTTGTTGCGCTTCTCCCGCCCTGGGGTGTTAGGAACTCATGTGGTTTCACGTTTATCCCGCCATGGGGCGTTAAGAACCACGTTGATCCCGCCCTGGGGCGTTATGAACCATGTGTTGTCATGCTTCTGTGGCCTCCTGAGGCGTCCTGGGGTGCGGGGGAAGCGACACGCTCCCCGAATACATACCCCAATACAGAACATACGTAAAACAAGCATTCGACCTGAGGCATCCTCTGAATTCTGGTCCCCAAGAGAGGAACAGTCTATAACACAAAACGAGGAGTTTAGTTCGAAACATCTTCAACAAAGAATGGGAAAAAAACAGCGATTCGCTCGGGACATCCACAAAATCATGTTACATACCCCCCTGGGTGGCCTGGACACATAAAACATTGCTTAAACTCGGGACAACCATGTTAGATACACCCCTGGGTGGCCTGGACACGTAAAAACACGTGGTTCCAGCTCGGGGCACCCATGTTAGATATCCCCCTGCGTGGCCTGGACTTGTACAAACACGTGGCAGCTCGGGACAAGCATGTTAGAAACCCCCCTGCGTAGCCTGGATACGCTGACTTCGCGCTCCCGCTCGAGACGTCCTCGCAATGTCTTCCCTGGAGAGGCCCCCAAAGCGCACCCCCTGTCCAGAGCAAGAAAACATAATTTTTCTGTATTGGGATATGTGTTCGGCCTCAAGGACGGCCCGCAGAAGTCAAAATCATTGATTTTCGATCTTCCTCCGGATTTTCAAGGATTTCAGCTTCTGCTCCATTTCGGCCTCCCGACGGCTCACGACTGACCAAAAGGCCATTAAGATCGCCCCTAGTGCCCACGAGGCCTCCAAGATGGCCCCAGGACGGCCCACGGGGCTTCCAAGACGGCCCCAAAGAAGGTCCCAAGACCGCCCAAGAGGCCCCCAACAAGCCCCAGATGGCCTCCAAGACTGCCAAGATGGCCTCGAAGATGCCTCCAAGACTGCCAAGATTTCCCCAAGATGCACCCAAGGCGGTCCAAGATGGCCTCCAGAGCCGGACAGGGTTGGCTTGTGCTCCTTTTCAGCTCTCCGACGGCCCAAGACGGCCCAAGCGGCCCCCAACATCTACCCAAGAGCGTCCAAGAGGCCTCCAAGATGGCCGCATGACAACTCAAGAGGCCCCCAAGAGGGCCCCAAGAAGGCCCCAAGACCGCCCAAGAGGCCCCAAGACGGCCCAAGAGGCCCCCAAGACGCCCAAGATGGCCTCCAGGACGGCCAAGATGGCCTCCAAGATGCCTCCAAGACGCCCCAGATGGCCGTCAAGACGACTAAGATGGAACGAAGATGCACCCAAGACGGCCCAAGATGGCCCGACTGGGTTAAATTCATTGGTTTTCCTACGGTTTTGGGAGGAGTTTGGCTTGTGCTCCTTTTTGAGCTCTCCGACGGCCCAAGACGGCCCAAGCGGCCCCTAACATCGACCCAAGTGCGTCCAAGAGGCCTCCAAGATGGCCGCATGACAACCCAAGAGGCCCCCAAGAGGGCCCTAAGAAGGCCCCAAGACCGCCCAAGAGGCCCCAAGATAGCCTCCAAGACGGCCAAGATAGCCTCCAAGATGCCTCCAAAACGCCCAAGATGGCCGTCAAGACGGCTAAGATGGCCCGAAGATACACCCAAGACGGCCCAAGATGGCCTCAAGATGGCCTAAGACGGCCCTATAGGCCTGCAAGAGGCCTCCAAGACGGCCCAAGAGCCCTCCAAGACGTCATCCAGGAAGACCCGAAAGGGCCAAAATCATTGATTCCCCTCCGGTTTGAGGAGAATTATTGCATTTCTTATTGGCAGCTCTCCGACGGCCCAAGACGGCGCAAGAGGCCGCCAACATCGACCCAAGAGTACCCAAGAGGCCTCCAAGATGGCCCCATAACAGCCCAAGAGGCCCCCAAGAGGGCCCCAACAACGCCCAAGAGGGCCCCAGATAGCATCCAAGACGGCCAAGATAGCCTCCAAGATGCCTCCAAAACGCCCAAGATGGCCGTCAAGACGGCTAAGATGGCCCGAAGATATACCTAAGACGGCCCAAGATGGCCTCAAGATGGCCGCAAGAGGCCTCCAAGACGGCCCAAGAGCCCTCCAAGACGTCATCCAGGAAGACCCGAAAGGGCCAAAATCATTGATTCTCCCCCGGTCTTGGGAGGATTCAGGCATTTCTTATTGGCAGCTCTCCGACGGCCCAAGACGGCCCAAGAGGCCCCCAACATCGTCCCAAGAGCGCCCAAGAGGCCTCCAAGATGGCCCCATAAAAGCCCAAGAGGGCCCCAACAAGACGCCAAGACGGCCCAAGATGGTCCCCAAGACGCCCAAGACGGCATCCAAGGCGGCCAAGATGGCCTCCAAGATGCCTCCAAGATGCCTCCAAGACGGCGAAGATGGCCCCAAGATGCACCCAAGACGGCCCCAGATGGCCTGAAGATGGCCTTAGACTGCCCAAAAGGTCCGCCAGAGGCCTGCAAGACGGCCCAAGACCCCTCCAAGACGTCCTCCAGGAGGCCCGAAAGCTCGGAAACCACCTGGTCCGATAGCTCGCCCGACTCCGTGTTCCCCGAAGGCTTTCGAAACCCACTCGGGGAACGCGTGGCCGATAGCTGGGCCAAGCTCAAACCCAACTTTCGGCCACGCAGGCTCTTCCAAAAAGGCAGGGGGCGGCGGTGATTCGCCGTAGGCGTCTTCGACAGCGCGGAGCAGACCGCTCGAAGGCGGGCCCCTTTGGCGGCCCCCCCGCGCGAGGGCCGGGGGCCGCCGCCGGGGGGACCCGGGTTCCCGCGGGAACCGACGCACAAGCAGTCTGCCGCGAGCTTTCCCCCCTCGACCTCCCAACCCTGGGTGGCCTGGACACGACACCCCCTGGGTGGCCTGGACACGCAAAAACACGTGGTTCGAGCTCGGGGCAACCATGTTCGATATCCCCCTGGGTGGCCTGGACACGCAAAAACACGTGGTTCCAGCTCGGGGCAACCATGTTAGATATCCCCCTGGGTGGCCTGGACTTTACAAACACGTAGTTCCAGCTCGGGACACCCATGATAGATACCCCCTGCGTGGCCTGAATACGCTGACTTCGCGCTCCCGCTGGAGACATCCTCGCAATGTCTTCCCTGGAGAGGCCCCCAAAGCGCCACCCCTTGTCCAGAGCAAGACAACATCACTTTTCTGTGTTGGAGTATGTGTTCGGGTGGCGCTTTTCGGCCCCCCGTGCGTTTCCTGATACTCTGGCGTTGGGCCCGACGCCATGTTAGATACCCCCCTGGGCGGCCTGGACACGTGAAAACACGTGGTTCCAGCTCGGGACAAGCATGTTAGATACCCCACTGGGTGGCCTGGACACTTAAAAACACGTGGATCAACCTCTGGGCAACCACGTTAGATACACCCCTGAGTGGCCTGGACACGTTGAAACACATGGTCCTTGCTCGGGACAACCATGTTATATACCGCCCTGGGTAGCGTGGACACCTGAAAACACGTGGTTCCAGCTCGGGACCACCATGTTAGATGCCCCCCTTGGTGGCCTGGACACGTGAAAACACATGGTTCCAGCCTACCCAAGGGAGATATCTAACATGCGGTCGTCTAGGGTGCCAGCTAGGGACAGTCATGTTAGATACCCCCTGGGCGACATGGTCGCCTGAGACATCCTCGGAATTCTGGCCCCCGACGAAGCCCCCGCTCGAGACATCCCCCAACTCTGTAAAACCAGCGCTTCGCCTGAGATATCCTCGACAAATTCGTATAAGACACGCGCTTCGCTATGGAAATCCTAATTTTTTCCACGCCGAATGGGACTTCACCTTGTTACGTATCGCAAATACTTGCGCCGGCGGAAACCAAACGCGCGTTTCGCAAGGGACATCCTTACTTTTTCCACGCCGAGTGGGACTTTACCTTGTTATCTGTCGCAGAATAATTCTGCCAGCGAAACCGGGGGGAAATGAAACAAAAACCAAAACGGAACCCTGAGCCCCCGCGCCTGTCCTAGAAAAAAAGCAACAGGTTCACAGATGGAGGGCGGGTGATTTTCAAAATGTAGTTCTCGCCTTAGCGCCGCGCGCATTCATTCTGACAAATTGTAAAAGCTTCACGGATTGAGGGAGGTTCGTTTTCAAAATGTGGCTCTCGCCTGAGCGCCGCGCACATTCGTCCTAAAGACGGAAAAGTTTCACAGCTTGAGGGCGGCTCGTTATCAAAATGTGGCTCTCACCTCAGCGCAGCGCACATTCGTTACACAAAAAGTGCAAAAGCTTCGCCGATTGAGGGCGGGTCGTTCTCATCATGTGGCTCTTGCCTAAGCGCCGCGCGCATGTGTTTAAAGAATTGCAAAGGTTTCACGGATCCTACCAGCAACGGTGTTTTGGAAACGCTCTGGATCGTCGCGGCGCAAAAGTTACGCTGATTTGCGGTGTTAAAGTCCCAAGAACGGCGTTCTGGCACGATTCCGGATCGCCAAGACGTAACATTCAGATTAAATCGTGGCTTTGAAGTCCTGAGAATCGTGTTTTGGCACGCTGCCAGATGTTCGCACAGATTCCCCAAACGGGGCAATTGCCTGTGGAAGTTATTCCCTACAGAAGCCTATGAAGAGGGAGCATCGTTCATGCGTCTTGAGATTACACTGGTCCTCCTCCTCATCTTCCTCTTCCTCCTGATTCTCCTCCTCCTCCTCCTCCTCCTCCTCCTCTTCATCCAACTCCGCCTCCTTCCTCCTCCTCCTCCTCCTCCTCCTCCTCCTCCTCCTCCTCCTCCGCCTCTCCTCCTCCTCCTCCTCCTCATTCATCCTCCTCCTCTCCTCATTTTAATATTATTTTCAACTGTTGATATTAGTAGTAGCAGTACTAATTTTCATAGTGTTGTTGATACTTTGAATATTATGAGTTATAGAATTGTGATTATTATTGATAATCCGCGTGATATTATTATTATTAGGATTAGGAGTAGCCGTCATAGTATTAGTTTTGCGATTCTGCTTATTGTTCGTAAGAATATGATTTTTGGTATGTGTAAACAGTATTCTTATTACTTTCAATAGTAGTAGTTGTTGTTGCTGTTGTTAAAAAGCTCTTCTGACTTCTACTCTTCTTCCTAGTATATGTATTATGCGCATGATTCGTAGTATGGAGTTTAGTAGTATGTGTAGTATAGAAGCTATTACTACTAATAGTATGATTAGTAAAATTACTACTCATATAAGTGCCATTATGAATCATAGTTTTCTGTTTGTGGCTACCATCATGATTACTAGTATTATCATATGTTCCTCTTTTCGTAGTATCAATAGTACTGTTTTTGTTCGTACTATTCTTCTTATTCGAAACAATATCATGAATAGGATTATTACTCGGATTCGTCTTCGCCCTCGCATTCTTAGGTATAGTAGTAGTAGTAGTAGTAGTAGTAGTAGTAGTAGTAGTAGTAGTAGTAGTAGTAGTAGTAGTGGTAGTAGTAGTAGTAGTAGTGTTTTCCGTATGTGAATTAGCATTCATATTCTCTCATTAATACATCAAAATAAAAATTATTTGATAAATCTACTACTACTACTACTACTACTACTACTACTACTACTACTACGACGACGACGACTACTACTACTACTACTACGACTGCTACTATGAGTAGAATGATGTGTAATAGTATTGTTGATATTATCAGCGTGGTTGTTACTAGTATTGTTATCAGTTGTCCTCCTCTTTCTTCTTCCCCTCCTTCTTCCTCTTCCTCCTCCTCCTCCCCCTCCTCCTCCACCTGCTCTTCCTCCTGCTCCTCCTCCTCTCGTAAGACAATCCCTAGGGCGGAGAAAAGGGGGGCGCCCTAGACCTTTGCCCAGCAGGCGTGCGAAAACATCGAGGGCGGGAAGGGCCCCCCCTCCCCCCTCAGCCCCCTTCGCCAGGCATCCCCTCGACGGTCCATCCCCCCGACCTTCGCGCTCCGAACTTGCAAGAGCCAGCAGCAGAGCGGAGCGAAGCTGGCGCCTTCGCCTTTGGCTTCAGCTGCTGCACTGCCGCCGACGTAGACCCCGGGGCCGAACAGCCCCGCGGAATGTGGCGTCACGGCCTGCTTGCGCTGCTACTGATCCTCCTCCTGCTCGTCCTCCTCGTCCGGTTCCTCCTCCTCCTCCTCCTCCTCCTCCTCCTCCTCCTCCTCCTCCTCCTCCTCCTCCTCCTCCTCCTCCTCCTCCTCCTCCTCCTCCTCCTCCTCCTGCTCCTCCCGCTCCCGCTCCTCGAGCTCTGTTCCTACTTCCCCCTGTCCATCATCATCCCACCTCCTGTGTCCTCCAGGCCCCCTCCCGCTCACCCTTTTCCATCCGCCTCTCCTGCCCCCTCCCCTTTCCAATCCCACCCCATCCACATACAATCCCTTTCGTTCGATCATGCACTCTGCACCGTCCTCTTCCCCTGCAGCCTTCTCGTTGCGCTTCCATCGTCGCACTGGGAGCAGATAGCACATGCTGGCAGTGTTCCGCATGATGAGCGTGGAGGCTGTGGCGTCCGCCCCTCATCGTCGCCGCCGTCGTATCCCTCGTCCCTCGTCTGGCTGCCCCGATCCCCTCGGGCTGGGCGTGCGAGCGCCAAAAGCGCATCAGGACTCGAAAACCAGGAAGCACGCCCCCGGACGTCCGCCGACCCGATTTGCTTCCGTCCGCGGCCCCAAATTTGAACGCCCGAGACAGGTGCGGAAGACATAGGCACGATGCCCAACAGCAAACGCTGCCCAAAGTCGACAGCGGCCGCTGTTGGCCAGGCGAGCCTGCGTCTCAGACGGACAACGACTGCGGCGACGCCCACAGCGAACCGTCAGAACGCACCAAAACTGCTTCTGTCGTCAATAAGCACCGAAGGGTCCGAGGCCCCCTCCTGCGGTCCCTCGGCCAACGAAGACGGCCGTAGGGGGAGGGATCCGAACATACTCCCACCAACTCCCGCAGTTCTCATGGGAGGAAAGACAGAAGGCGCAACTTCTTCTACTCGTCTAGCGCGCTCGCAGGACAAGGAGGAAGAGGAGGAGAAATGGGTTGGGCTCTTGTCCCCATCGTTTCCGTGCCCACGTCGGTCCCCCCGACCCAGAGGCCCCGACCACTGCCTCCAAGCGGCTCTGCGCCCCGGGCCCGTTCGTGGTCGTCCCGAATACCGAACACGGGCCCAGGAGGTCAAGATCGCGGAAGACGCCGGGATGAGGGGGGGAAAAAAAAAAACAAAAAACAAAAAACTGCGACGTACACAACCCATGTGCATCAAGTGGCAAGAGGAGCAGGCCAACATCAGCAGGAACAACGGCAGTGTAGACGCGGTGAATTGCTGCGCAGACTACATGGGATGCGCATGCGTTGCACGACTCACAGGACGACGATCGAAAGAATGAGGATTGAGGCCCCAGGCTCGAAGAATTACGGGGACAGGAACGCGGGGCAGGAGAAGGATGGAATGGGAGGTAATCTGAATCTGCGTATGACGTTACTCAGCTGGGCCCCCAAGCAACCCTCGAAAGTGGCGACAGTTTCGCGGACCGCAGCCCCCCAGGGATCGCGAGGTCTAATCTGAATCTGCGTATGACCCAACTCCGCTGGGCCCCCCAGCAGCCATCGAGAGTGGCGACAGCTTTGCAGATCGCAGCCCCCAAGGGATGGCGAGGTCTAATCTGAATCTGCGTATGACCCAACTCCGCTGGGCCCCCCAGCAGCCCTCGAAAGTGGTGACAGCTTTGCAGATCGCAGCCCCCCAGGGGGGGCGAGGTCTAATCTGAATCTGCGTATGACCCCCACTCCGCTGGGCCCCCCAGCAGCCCTCGAAAGTGGCGACAGTTTCGCAGATCGCAGCCCCCCAGGGATGGCGAGGTCTAATCTGAATCTGCGTATGACCCAACTCCGCTGGGCCCCCCAGCAGCCATCGAGAGTGGCGACAGCTTTGCAGATCGCAGCCCCCCAGGGATGGCGAGGTCTAATCTGAATCTGCGTATGACCCAACTCCGCTGGGCCCCCCAGCAGCCATCGAAAGTGGCGACAGTTTCGCAGATCGCAGCCCCCCAGGGATGGTGAGGTAGGAGACAAACTGGCACGCAGGAGCGAGCGAGGTAGGAAGCAGGGGGAAGAGGAAAGGAGGAGGGGGCGGGAGAGGAGAGGAGAGGAGTCGCGACCGCAGCTGCTTTATTCAAAACGAAACCCAATGCAGGAGGGTTGGGAAACAACATCCCGTCCGAGATCTGGGTCTCTACAGGCTTTGGCGGTGAGGGGGGAGCACCCACGTGAGCGGAAAACCGACTCGCGTGAGCTGGTCCGAAAGCGCTTCACGGCGAACCCACAATGGAAGCCGAAGCCAAAGCCGAAGTGCACAGAAAAGTGGACTGGGCCTACCCTACAGATTTGATTCACGGTGAATCGCTGAGCGGTCCTGCAGCCCCCCCTGGGCAAAGGGCCCCCCCCCACAGCATCGGCCAGACAATTCGGGAGCGCACCCTCATGGCTTGCTTGAATCTGGGCACGATTCGACACTGCATTTGCCGCGCGAGAGTGATCTCATTATGATCTTGGCTCATGGTACGTTCCAGGACTCCAGCAGTATCCAGAGGCCCCCGTTTCTGCAGCCTGTGGAAACTTAGGACATGGAGAAAACTCTGGAAACCTTGGAATATTGGAAAATACCATTATACGCAGACCCCCAACTTCGCAATCTTTTCCCACGGTCTCCAGAGCTCTCGACCCCTTCCCAAGGACCAGCTCTTCACCCCGAATCGTCTTGTCACGGCCCCGAAGCCAGGCAAGGGCTCCGAGAGGCCGACCATAGCGAAAAGCATCCCGTCGTGATTTTGTTCACATCGCGAGGGGGTCTGGGCATCGCGACCTCCTGCTCCTCTGGATGAGGGGGCCGCGGCCGCGGCGCGGGCCCGAACGGCCCAAGCGCACACACCGAATCCCCCCACCCACAGAGGGGCCCTCGGCGCGGCCCGTGTGAGTATCGTTTAACCGATACCCACCCCCAGCGGCGTGGCCTGGGCCCCACTGGCCAATTTACCCCCCTGGATGGGGATATAGGTCGTTCCCTTCGGGCTTCGAGGGGTGTGTCCCCAACTGGGGGGGTGGTTTGGTGAGGGCCTCGAAGGAGATGGGGATGGGGATGGGGATCGGTTAAACGATACCCACCGTGGACGCCCAGCGAGACGCCGAGGGCCTGGGGCACCAGTGTTGGCCGGGGGGAGGGAGGAGGAGGGGAGGAGGAGGAGGAAGGAGGAGGAGGAGGAGGAGGAGGAGGAGGAGGAGGAGGAGGAGGAGGAGGAGGAGGAGGGAGGAGGAGGAGGAGGAGGAGGAGGAGGAGGAGGAGGAGGAGGAGAGGAGGAGGAGGGGAGGAGGAGGAGGAGGAGGAGGAGGAGGAGGAGGAGGAGGAGGAGGAGGAGGAGGAGGAGGAGGAGGGGGGGCGAGGAGGAGGAGGAGGAGGAGGAGGCGGAGGGCGTGTGCACAGCCCCTAGGTGGCTGCACGTCGACGGCGTCCTGCAGCGAGCGAGCGAGCGAGCGAGCGAGCACGGCTCCAGGGCCACTGGGCCCGGGAGAGGGGCCGGGCCAGGGGGCCGCGGGTATGGACATGTGCTCGCACGCGTACACACGCTGAGGTCGGGCATGTCCCCCCACGGGCGGATTTTGGGCGAAACGCGAGCAGGCCAGCCGCAGGCGAGCTGCGGCCGTGGGAGAACGGAGCATTTTGTGAGGGTGGAGGGCCCAGGGTGAAATCCACGTGGGCCTCTCCACCCCGAGAGTCAATCCGTCCTGTGCTCCACCTTCTGCAGATTCAAGCCTCGAAACTCCATCGCAACGGCATTTCAGATTTCACCCTTTACCCTCCACCCAAAGAAAATGCGCTGGTGCTGTCCCGCCCATAACTCAGAGGGACTGACAACACTGGAAGGGGCGCAGGAGGCCAGGAAGCCCGCAGCTCCATCCAGTGAGCTGCGAACGCTGCTGGTTTCATCGCACGCGCGCAGGGAGCCGAGATATGGTACCCTCCCTACGGGCAGAGTGTCCCGAAGCACTCACGCCCAAGACTCGGAGGTGAGCCCGGGGGAGACGTGAGCAGGGGGTGGGCCTTCTGAGAAGGCTCGAAAGCTCCCTGGCCTTCCCAAAGGGTCTCTAAGCCTTCCTCGAAGACGCAGAAAACCTCTAACAAGGCGCAAAGGCCTCCTCCTCCTCCTCCTCCTCCTCCTCCTCCTCCTCCTCCTCCTCCTCCTCCTCCTCCTCCGCCTCCTCGGCCTCCTCCTCCTCTTCCTCCTCCGCCTCCTCCTCCTCCTCCTCCTCCTCCTCCTCCTCCTCTTCCTCCTACTGCTCCTCCTCATCGTCCTCCTCCTCTTATTCCTCTTCCTCTTCCTCCTCCTCTTCTGAGCAGCCCCGCAGCATTCTGAGAGGGCCTCCTCCTCCTCACTTCCCTCCCTCGCTCGCCGCCAATCATCACAGGCAGCGTGTCCAGACTCGCTCTCGCACCCCAAAGCATCCCCCCCATTGCTCATTCCTTCCCGGGCCTCGGTCCCGGGCGACACCGCGAGCACGAGGGCGTTGAGGCCCTCCCAAAGCCAGTCCACCGCCTGCGCTGGGCCGCCGGGGGGGGCCCTGCAGCAGCCTCGTTGTGTCTTGCCCCCTCCGCCCTGTCCAGGAGCCGCCCGCAGTCATGGCAAGGAGCCGGCCCGTCGACTCGCGTCTGCCCTGACCTCGGCCGCGAGCCCAGGAGGAAGAAGTGAGAGTGGGCGGGCCTTCTCAGAGGGCTCGAAGCCCCCCCGCCTTCTGAGAAGCTGTCCGGGCCGGCCCGGAAGGCACGGAGAGCCTCACCGAAGGCGCGAGGCCTTCTGAGAGGTCCCGCCGCCTTCCGACGAGGCCCTCGCCTTCTCACTTCCCCCCCCCCGTCGCTCGCCGCCGATGACCCGCTCTCCCCACCTTTGCCGCGACGCCTCGTCCGCCCTGTCCTCAACCCTCCCGCAGTCATGGCAAGGTACCGCCTCGTCGACTCTCTTGTCGCGCCCAAGGTCTGGCCATGACTGTTCCACCGTCGAGCTTTCTCACCCACAGAAGGCCACTGCGCGAAAAATCTGGCTGCTCTTCTGCGGGGCATGCAAGCTGTGAGCCGTCATGCCGCATGGTCTGAAGGCGGTGAAATAGAGCGCACACGAGTAAATAAGAGACGGACTGCAGTAATTGTGTCATGCCCCCTCTGTCAGTCTCCTCCCCTGGTCCCGAACAAACCAGCTGAGCCCACACCAGTGAGGAAGGCCTCGGGTTGTCTGACCCCGTACGACCTGGTAAATGGAATACGAAGGAAAGATCGTTTCTCTGGGGGGGGCATGATCCCTCGTAACATCTATTTTCGGCACACCCGGAAGCCCTGCTACTGACGACCCGAAGTTCTACAACCTTCTTTGCTTTTTGAACCGTCTTGTGCTTCACAGTCGGGCGCCCCATCTTCTGCTTCAGTCGGGCGCTCCTTTTTCCTGCTTCACAGTCGCGAGGCGCTCCTTCTGCCGTTTCTTGTTGCACAATTCACGAAGGGGCGCCGATCGGGCGCTCTTCTGCCCACGCGCCATTCCGGATGCTTGGCTCTGTGGTGGTGGTGGTGGTGAAGTCCTTTGGGGGCTTCTTGGGCCGTGATGGGGGCCCGTTGCAGCCCCCTGGGGGCTCGCCCCCTCCTCACCTGCGACCTGGCCCCAATCGCCCCCTCGCTCCCTCCTGTACACGCTCTCCCACACGTCTCCTCCCTTGCCTCACCGTCCCCCCGGCTCATCCTCTGCCCCAGGGAACAAAAAACTCGCATCTCTCGCTTCCGCTTTCTGCCCCTGCCCTGCACCTGCCTCTACTTCCTCCGCCTTGCCTGCTCCATCCGCCTCATCCAACAGCCTCGCGTACATCATGCTCTGTCTAGACCTCATCACTGGAATTCCTCGCAGACTTTGCACTTGCCGTCGCCAAAACCTTCCACCACCTCCTCCCTGTCTTCAGCCCCTTCGTACCCCCCCCCCTCATCTCAATCCTGCCATGGGGTCATGAGGGAAGGAACGCCCTCGCGCTCATTGTTCGAGAAGCGCCCTAAAGCGCAGGGCGAGCACCCAGGTGAAACTTGAGCCCCGTGCGCGAGACGGCCGTCTCCCTCGAGGAGCCATCTGCAGGCAGCCACATGTAAGCCCTGCGTACCCCCGACTGGTCCAAATCCTTCGGGGCGAAGGCAAGGTCAGCCCAGTGGGTCGGCCAGTCCATTCTGATCCCCCTCTGGCTAAACCCAGCATGGGACTATGCAGACAATCGCTCCCCACTGATCGCAAAGTCCGCCGACCTCCGCTTGCCAGGGGTGCAAAAGCGTGTGAGATATCTGGCTCTCCCCCTCCCTGTTGCACCCTCCCCTGGGGTCCAAAATGCCACTCCAGGAGGGGGGTACGAGGTCGCCAACGCCTCTCCTGGGGCCTCCGGAGCCTCCCAGTAGCCTCAAGACGGCCCGAACGCGCCCTGGATACGAACTGACATTTCGAGCCTTTCCCCGAAAGATGTCCCCAGGAGCCCTCCTGGCGCACCCCGAGGCGCCCAAAAGAGGCCCCAAGAAGCCTCCAAGGGGCCCCCTAGAAGCCCCCAAGCGGCCCGCAAGAAGGCACCAAAGGCTCACCAGATGCCCCCAAGAGCCCTCCAAGAGTCCCCTGAGAGGCATCCCACGAGCCCCTCATATGCATCCAAGTGGCTCCTGACCCACTAAATAACTCTCAAGGTCGTCGCCAACACTCGCTCCTCCTGGGGGGTCGGCGGAATGGCGTAAGCCACTTGACATTTTTTTCTCACGTTTGCGAATAGGTACTTTGCGAGTAATGGAACGCGTTCGGTGAATATGGGTCAGCGCTGACCAGGGTCAGCCTGTGCCCGAATCCCTGTGCGAGCGGGGGCTCGGAGAGTGCGAGCGGGCCCGAGCGAAGCAAACCCCCGCTGAAGAACCTGCCAGTTCGGGTCGATGGCCGGCGGGGCTTGGGGTTCGCGTTTCGTCACGGACTCTGTCGGTTGGCCCATCTGAAGGGCAACGTTCGGGGTGTACGGTTAAGTCGGGCCTGTCCCCCTTACAGGAGATTGTCGACGGAAAAAAAAAATACCCCTAAAATATTCCAAAAAGAATCAAAAAAAAGTCTGGGGACTATTTTTTCATTATTTTGTTGACCTTTTTTGGGGGGTATTTTTCAGTACTCTTTATCTTTCGTCGAAAACCCCCCTGTGGGAGGACAGGCCCGACATAAGTGTACGGCTCGAGAGAGGGGGGCGAGTAGATATCGGCCTGGAATCGCCGACGCGACACGCGGCCGAGAGGTCGGCGAGCCGCCCCGATGGCAGAAGCCCCACGCCCCTGGGACGGGGTGGGCCACCGGGCCCCCCATCGGCGGGGAGGGGGCGACCCGAGGTCGACGCATCCCCCCGCCCCTGCCCATTGAGGCCATGACCTTTATTTGTTTTGTTGGGGCAACTCGCGAAGCACCAATCAACGTCCACCACACTATGTTTCCAAAGTCTGGCTGTCGGCTGCCGAATACACGCAAATACGCGCTACCCTCCAGGCCCGAAACAAAAACCCATAAAAACCCTGGACTGGGGCAGCGCCCATGAGGCCATGACCTGGGCCACTGTGGAGGGTGCAGTGGAGGCCAGTCCACAAGAAACCTCCCACAAGAAGCCCAACCCCGAGACCCCAGGGCGTCCACCGACTTCTGCTGCGGGAGCGCCACGCCCTCCATCGCGGAGCCATCGAGACCCGAGAAACCCAGGGCACCCTGGAGGCAGGCAGGGTGCTTCTTGGCATGGGCCCCCACTGCAGCAGGGCCGGCGCAGCCACCGTGCTTCGACGAGCGCGTCCCACCACTCGCAGAGTGACTGCTCGCAGATGGCCTGGATCCGCCGCGGGGGATCTACGAGAAATTCCATCGAGGCAAGCATTTGCTTTTCGGACATTGCCGAGTAGGCACTTTTTGAGCAGGTACCGACCATCCCGGCATTTCTATAGTCCTACCACGACATGTTCTTAGAACCCAGAAATGTTCTAAAAACAAAAGACAATGTTCTTAGAACATAAGCCCGATGTGTTAATATTTCGTGGAAACCACAAAAGGTTCTTAGAACATTGTCTGGTAGGGCTGATAGGCGAGCCAGGACGCTTCGCCACTGCTTGAACTGTGCGAGCAGCGGAACGCGCTCGGTGAGCTCGGAGCACGCTCGTCGAGCTGGCCTCCGGCGAGAGGGCCCGGCGGGGCGGCTCGGGGCGAGCCCCCTCTGCGCTCGGGAGGGCGGGCCGCCCGGGCCGGCGAGGGCCGAGCTGTGCTCGCCGGCGTGGGCGCCCGGAGGCCCTCCGCGGCGCGGGGAGCTCTGGCGGGCACGCCTCGCAGGGGCCTCCGCTCGGGCGTTGGCAGAGGGACAGGCCCGACTCAATCTTAGCTGCCCCGATACGCAGCACGCAACACGCAGCGTGTTGATACGGAGCTCAACGCGTAGACTTAGCACGTACGTTTTGAACACGGACGTTTTGACCACGGCACGTCTAACGGTTTCACAATTTGCGCATCAGAGCAGCTGAGACGGCCATGGAGCTGGTACCAGGGGCGCACGGGAAGGATCGGGCGTTGGCAGAACTGGGTTTAGTGGAACCCGGTTTAGTGATGCGTACTGGGGGACGACCCCCCGCCCCGTTCCACTGACCGGAACTGCAGTCAGCCGAAAAAACACCAGCTGCGGCAGATCTGGTTTAGTGATTCTGGCCGATTCATGGGCTCCGGAGCCCTACCACTAACCGGGACCCCTTACCTTGGGTCCTGGCTATACCCGGTCCGCTGCAGCACTGTGCGCGCCCTCCTCCGCTGGACGCCGGCGCCGCGGGAGGCAAAAAAGGAGGACCAGGAGAGAGCTGAACGAGCACAGAAGCTCGGAGGGGCCCGCGCGGCTCTCCTGGATGGGCGTTCCCTGGCGGGCGCGCCCAGCGCCCCTCCGAGAGGTCCTCGCGGAGCCCCGAAGGCTTGTGTTTATGAAGCTGTTTTACCGTTTGAAAAGAAGAGGCGGCGCGCACAAGGGGGTAGGGGAGCGGGGAAGGCTTCCTAGAAGGAGGCTTTTTCTTAGAAGGCGCCAGCCCCAAATCTATGGACAAGGCCCGCGCCTCCTAAGAATGAGGAGTGCTCATCCAAGAAGCCTTCCCTCCTGCCCCTTCCCCCCTTTCTGCGCGTGGCCGAGGAAGATGAGGCGCAACGATAGGGGGAGACTGGCATGGGAGGGGGACGCCTCGACCTGGAACCGGCGATGCGTCGCCGGCAGAGCGGCGATAGGCCCCCCGAAAGTGAGTCCGGCACCTTCCTGGGCAGCTCGGGGCCGTTCGGCGACCCATGGGCGATCGGGGGTCGATGCGCCCACCCCCTTTGCCCATGAAACCCACATGCCCCCCATGCGTTGCCCCTGGGAGCTGAAGAAGAAGAGACCGCACAAACATGAACTGTTGTCGCTCCGCGCGGATCTCTCGGATCTGCGCCAGACCCCCCTCCCTGGCGCACGGAGCGCGCCAGGGGCGGCGCCGGAGGCGCCGCCAGGCCGGCGCCTGGGCGCGGATCCAAGAAACCCGCGCGGAGCGCCACAAGCTTATGCCTATGGCGTTTCTTCATACCATTATCAATAGCATTCCGACTGATAAAACTGTTAATAGCAATAGTAGATGCGCTATGATTCCTGTTAATTGCATTATTAAGGATATCAGCAATACTAATATTATGAAAGTTAATAGTACTATTATTGAACAGATTCGCATCACCATTGCTATTATGAACGGAAGTCGAGTACGGGCCGTGCGCGACGCGCACTGCCACGTGCCCCCAAACAGGGCTCGACTGTTGGCAGCCGTGGATGCCATGCTCACCGCCTGCAGAACTCAATGTAATCATCCTCCATATGTTTCCGATAGTCCCGGTCTTGTGCGGCTGCGATCCAAGAGGAACCGCCAACCGGCCTCCCTGCTGTGCCTGTGAAGAACTTGCCCAAACTATCGCACCAGCGCGTTAAGGGCCTCGCCTGCGCTCTGCAACCTGTCAAAGACCAATGCAGCATAACCTTCGTCCAACGGCCGTCGGTCCGTCTTGCAACATGTCCTGCCCACTGAAACTTTCGTTTCGAAATTTCTTCAACCCAATTGCGAACACCGTGCTCCCGGCTAACCATTGCTATTATCAGTAATAGAAATATTATCATGATTACTATGAACGATAAAAAAATATGATTATGATTATGATTATGATTATGATAATGATAATTAATAATAATGATATCATTCGACCTATGCCCATTACCCCCTTATGCCTTGCCCCTGGGAACGTCGACCCACAGAGGTCTCGAACCCTTCCCCAGGACATGTGTTCCCTCCTGAATCGGTTTTGACGGCCCCGGGCCCCGGTACAGGCCCCCAGAGGCCGAAAATAACGACAAACCAGCCGCCAATTTTTTTTCACAACGCCAGGATCTCAGTGTATGCCCATTCCCCCCCATATGCTTTCCCCTGGGGAGGAGGCCACCTCCAGGCCCAGCGTCCGGTCGCCGGCGGCCTCTGGCTCGCCAGAGGTGAGCGCGCAGCTGGCGCGCCAAGTCTGCGGGGGGCCCGGCGGCAGCGGGTTTTCTCTGGTCGTCGTCCTGCTGCTGTCCCTCGGCAGTGCCTCTACACGCCAACAGCCTGCAATTCCTCCTAGAAGCCGTGTCTGTGATAATCGATATCATAGATACGAGCCCGCTCTGTTATCTTCTCTCTCTCGTTCTCGATGTATGTATATATGTATATATATATCACTTCTTCTCGGTATACATATATCTATATACACATACATACATACACATGTATGTGTCCTTCTATCTCTCTCCCTATATGTGTGTATATATAGATGTATTTCTCTCTCTCCTCCCTCCATAAACAGTACACAGGACTCTGCACATGTATATCAGCCAGCGTTGACTCCAAATAAATTGGAGGACAGGAAGAGGACGAGAGGAGGATGGGAGGAGGACGAAGGAGGACGGGATCAGGACGGGAGGAGAAAGGGAGGAGCAAAATCAAACAAGCGCAAGCAAGCAAGCGGAAGCAAGCAAGCGCAAGCGAGCAATAACAAGCAAGCAATAGCCAGCGATCAAGTGCAAGCAAGCAAGGGCAAGCAAGAGCAAGCAAGCGAGAACAAGCACGCAAGAGCAAGCAAGCAAGCAAGCAACTGCCATTGGAAAAAGGGGGGCCATTGGAAAAAGGGGTGGGGGGCCATTAGAAAAAAAGGGGGGTGCTAAAGACCAATTATTTCTGATGAGCTAGGACTCCTGTAGGGCAAGCCTATCTGGAGAATATGCAGCTCGCCCCCCCCCTTGTCATCATCGTACAGGTTCGTCGTTTCGTATTCGTTTTCTTTATAATCGTAATATTATCCCTCCCCTTCGTTGTAGCATTCTTCGCAGCGAGCTTCTTAGTATTCGTATTCATATCCTTGCTCATATTATTCATCATTCTGTCTTGGACGTCGTTCCCATCGTATTCCTCGCCTGCTGCTACCGCTCGTGCCCCTTCCGCTCGTGAGATGGATGAGAAGGAGGAAGGGGAGGAGATTGAGGAGGAGGAAGGAGGGGGACCAGGACGAGGAAGAAGAAGAGGAGAACGAGGACGAGGGAGGAGGAGGATGACGAAGCTCCCGCATCAGACTTCCGCCATATTACCGCCTCAAGAGCACCAAAGTCACGACAATTACATGGTTCCGATGCCCCGCTCGGATTAATCGCATGAGCTGCGGGCCTCATAGGGAGGGGGCACCCGCCTGAGACTGCCTCGCCATTCACTCACAGACGAGGCTCCCGCCTGAGACTTCCGCCACACTCAAGCTTGAAAAGGCCAAAAGTGACGACAAGTCTAGGATTCCGATGACCCGCTCGGATTGATAACATGATCTGCGGGCCCCATAGGAGGGAGCTCCCGACTGAGACTTCCTCGCAAATCACTCACACACGAGGTTCCCGCCTGAGACTTCCGCCATACTCAAGCTTGAAAAGGCCCCACGTGACGACAAACATAATTCCGATGATCCGCTCGATTAATAACCTGAGCTGCGGGTCCCATAAGGCGGGGGCCCCGCCTGAGACTGCCTCGCAAATCACTCACACAGGAGGCTCCCGCCTGAGCCTTCCGCCATACTCAAGCTTGAAGAGGCCAAAAATGAGGACAATTACATGATTCCGATGACCCGCTCGGATTAATAACATGAGCTGCGGGCCCCATAGGGAGGGGGCCCCGCCAGAGATGACTGCGTGCGTGAATGAGTGAGTGAGTGAGTGAGTGGGCGGGTCGGTGGGCGAGTGGATGGGTAAGTGCGTGAATGAGTGATGATGATGAGTGTGCGTGTGAGTGTGTGTGGCCGAGTGAGTGGGTGAGTGAGTGTGTGCGTGTGTGAGTGGGTGAGTGAGTGTGTGAGTGCGTGAGTGTGTGTGCGAGTGAGGGCGATCTCTTGTTCCTGCGCGGGGTGTCTAGAGAAAGCAAGAAACCCACGTTGGATGCGGGGAACAAGAACCCCACTTTGGATGTGTGGAAAAAACAGAAAATCAAAAACTATGTTTATATATCTATATCTATATATATATATATAGATGGAGAGCGTCTGGGGAGAGGGGGCAGCCAAGGCTCTCCAGAAAAACTATATCAGTGGTGTGTTGGTGTTGTTTTGTTGTTGGTTTGGTTGTTTTGGGTTGTATGGCATGTGCCTGTGGTTTTCGCGGTTTCACTCATTCCGAAGAGGAGGAGGTGGAAGGAGAGGGGGAGGATGAGGAAACGGAGTGGAGATATCGATCGGCAGCCGCGGTAGAGACGACTATGTATTATCATGTGGGGGGGGCGTTCACACACGCACACACATATATATATATATATATATATACATACATACATACATACATACATACATACATGCACATGGACATGGACAGACACATGTACATATATACATATATATACATACATATATATATATATATACATACCCAGACGTTTCTATATATATATATATGTATATATGTATATACATATACATATATACATGTGCATGCAAATTTATTGACATATAGACATACACATATACATATGCATAAGTTGATACATGTACACATACAGTTATAATATAAAGGCATGACAACATCATTAACTCTATATATATATGTATATATCAAACACATGTACCTATACATATGCACCTGTAAAGAAATGCGTATACAAAAACGTACATATGTGTGTGAATATGTCTACATATACATAACATATATAATGTATATCAATAAACGCAACTACATCTACTACACACTCGTGCTTGATTACACATACATATACATGCATCAATACATGTATATACACATACACGTACACAAACGTGTATGTCTATACCTGTACACATACATCTACATATTCATATACATGTGCATTTACAAATGCATATGCTCATCGATATACCGATGCAAATTCATATACACACACATTTGCAAATGTGTATATGTGTATGTATGTACAATGGATACGAGTACCCCTCACCCCCTGAAGTTATCCAAAAGACGTCCCGCCCCCTCCGCGCGGTGTATTCCTTACCAAGGGATCTCAAAAAATATGGATTGATTAAAATCCGATTGTTTCCGGTGTTTCAACAAGGCCTTCGTTTCGGATCGGCGCGCTGCTCCCGTCGTTCATGATGGCGCTCTCGCCCCAGCGCGGGCCTCTTGCATGGGTCCGAATCTTGCTTCATGGTCCCCCCCTCCGCCTTCCCATGGTCCTCATGTTCCTCCCGTCCTTTCCACTCCAGGTCCTGCTGCTGCTGCTGCTCGTCTCGCCCCAACGCGGGTCTCTTTCTATATCCGAATATTCTATCTATTCATCATCGTCGCACCCGCCATGTCCCCTCCTCCGCCTTCCCCTGGTCCTCCTTTCCCTCCCGATCCTTCCGCCTCCGTTCCTGCTTCTGTTGTTCGTCCCCCTCCTCTTCCTCCCGCCCATCCTCCTGCTCACGCGCCACCTCGTCCTCCTCCTTCTCCGCCTCCTCTCTCCTCCTCCTCCTCCTCCTCCTCCTCCTCCTCCTCCTCCTCCTCCTCCTCCTCCTCCTCCTCTCCTCCTCCTCCTCCTCCTCCCCTCCTCCTCCTCCTCCTTCCCTCCTCCTCCTCCTCCCCTCCTCCTCCTCTTCCTCCCTCCCCCCCTTCCTTATCCCCCCTCCTCCTCCTCCTCCTCCTCCTCCTCCTCCTCCTCTTCCTCCTCCTCCTCCTGTGCGCGCAGCTCCCATTTCTCCGATTGCGCATACGTAACACGAAGTGGTCTTTCCGTGTGAGTCGCATGTCGGCTATGGCATGCGTCCGCGGATAGAGAAACTCCCGCGCCGCGCAGAGGGATAGGAAGTCAGCGCAAGCGCACCCAATTTGGCATGAGCATATATGTTTCTCTTTATCTCGCTCTCTCTCTCTCTCTCTCCCTTTCGTCCTGCATGTCTCTCTCTCTCTCTCTCTCTCTTGCTTGCTTGATAGATTGCTCTCTATCGTTATGAATGTGTATCTCTCTCTCTCTCTCTCTCTCTCCCCCCCTCTGTACTCCCCTCTTGTTGTCCCTCTCTCTCTTTCTCTCTCCCTCGCTCCCTCTCTATTGTCCTCCTGTTCTCCCACTATATCTCTCTCAATCCCTCTCCCTTCCTCGATGTCTCCCCCTCTCTCTGGCTATACCCCTCTCGTTCTCTCGTTATCCCTCTCTCTCTATCGTTGTGTCTGTATCCCTCTCTCTATGTAGCCCTCTATATATTATATATGTATATATGTATATCGCTCTCTCTCTCTCTCTCTCTCTATCTCTGTCTCTCTCTCTCTCTCTCTCGCTCGCTCTCTCTCGCTCTCTCTCTATCTCTCTCTCTCTCGCTCTCTATAGCCGACTCTCTCTGGCTCTCTCTCGCTCTCTCTCTGTCTCTCTCGCGTACCCTAACTCTCTCTCTCACTATTTCCCATATTTCTATATATATATATATATGTGTGTGTGTAGTATCTCCCTCTGTCTATATATATATATATATATACATATGTGTGTGTGTGTCTCCATCTCTCTCTCTCTCTCTCTCTTTCTGAGGCCGTGCGTGTGCGCCGCAGTCACCCCCCGTCTCTGGCGATACCGCGATACCCCCATCTGGGCCACTGAAGGCACGGAATCGGTATCTCCGTTCCCCACTTGCAAGAAATGGTTGGTTCTCGTCTTCTAAATGGTCGATGCTCTCGGTACCCTGTCTAGTGGTGCACCTGCGCGCCCGCCTCAACGATGCTGCGGAGACCCACGCTCATGAGAGCCAATGGAAGGTTCTGGTGCCGTTCAGACCGAACTAAGAAGCGGCTTGCAAACACATGTGTCGGGTCAGATCGGCCATCACGACTAGCATGGTCTCAAATATGACGCAGCCATGCTTGCAGCAGCGCCGCGCAGCCGAACAGGCCCTAGCTGGGAAAAGAGGAGTGCACACGACGAAAGGAAATCTGATTTCAGACAGACACACAGACAGACAGACACACAGACAGACAGACACATAGACATACAGACATACAGACAGACAGACAGACAGACAGACAGACAGACAGACAGACAGACAGACAGACAGGCAGGCAGGCAGGCAGGCAGACAGGCAGGCAGGCAGGCAGGCAGGCAGGCAGGCAGGCACACAGGCAGGCAGGCAGTCAGGCAGACAGACAGACAGACACAGGCAGACAGGCAGGAAGGCAGACAGACAGACAGGAAGACAGGCAGGCAGACAGGCAGGCAGGCAGACAGACAGACAGACAGACAGACAGACAGACACACGCACACACACACACACACACAGACAGGCAGACAGACAGACAGAACCTGCAAGTGCACGCCATCGAGGGTGCTGCAGGCGGGTGCCGTGGCGCCAGAAAGCGAAACCATCTGTCGCGCAATGGAACACCAAAGCACTACTCACGAATGCACTCTCAAGTGACCCCCGTACCTCTGCTCGGGCAAGATCCACCCAGCTTTGTTCATTGCAGGTTTGTCTCGACAGAACGAAACCTCGTGAATCATCAGACCAACGTTTCTCTTGGTGGCCCTGGCATCTACGGGCATCGCAGTGAGGATTCTCGTCCGGACTCCACCAGCGTCGTCCTCTAATGTGAGACTTTGTCGAGCCCATCTCCACTTTGTCGTTAAATAGATACCCAATCTTGGCTTCTCAAGTGGCTCATACTAGAATACACCTTTGCGGTTGCTCTCCGGATCCAGTCTGCCAAAAGATCGAGCCCAGTCGTCCTCATGTGGAAGCCGATCATGATTTTGCACCACCGTTGGCCGTGGTGTCGCTGGAGCTTTCCACAGACTCCTGGTGGACCCCCGGGTGGTCGCCTGCTGTGGAATTGACGTCGGGGGGTCTGCAGAATCATGCGTAGCATCTGGCGCGGCACTCCACGTCATCGGCCCTCCATGATTGTCGTCACTGTCCAGGCTTTGCATCCGTATAGAACCGCTGGAGGTAACTGTCCCATGGAACAAACGTACCCGGCTGCTGAGGGAACAATGCTTTCCGGTCAGTTCCTGGCGCTGCGCGAGGAACTTCGGCCACCCCGCAGAAATCGACTGACGTGGGTCACCCCCGTGGGCTGGGAACCTCGATGGCCTGTGGAGGCCGCAGAGGCACGTAATTTGGCTGACATGACAACCAGGGCTACCCCATGTTGGATCAGGGCCAGAGGGGCATTCCCCAAGCCAAGGAACTTCGCAATATTCGATCCTCCCGCATCCTTTTGGCAGTAACGTCACCTGTGCCCATGCCACGCAATCGGCTCGGAGCTCGTCCTCCCTCAACCCGCCATGCATGTCTGCTGTGGCGGAGAGGCCCTCCGAGGGGCACTTTGCTCTCTCGTGGTCTCTGGATGTCATCGTGAGTCAGCCTTGGGCCGAACTTCGGGCGCCCTACATGATTTCTGTCTTCTCCAGAGCCTGTTGGGCCTCTCAGGTGGCGTCTGGCAGGGTACATGGTTGGGCTGTCTTGGGCCGCCTTGGACCTGTCTGCGGCCGCCGTGCGGTCCTCTTGGACTGGCCACGAAAAGAAAGGATAGGAACCCTTGGGTAAAGGGGGGGGCGGGGCTGGTTCGAACATAAGTCATGCCCCGCAGGGGCTTGACACTTCATGGCTGCACGCCTGGTCCCCGTCCCCTCTTCTCACGTCCACTATGATATCCTGATCGGCTGTTGCCGCCTTGACTGCACTGTCATACGCTTCCAGTCCTTCAACTCTCCCTCCCCTGTCACCTCAAGAGAGACGTGGGAGGGAGAGTTGGATGAGAAGCCCTTGGCCTCCCACGGACTGAGCCCAGCCGCCTGGCCCGCCCCAACCGAAACAAGAGCACCCCCCGGCGCGGCGGCGCACGCCTGGTCTTCCCGGAGGCGTGCGGTGGGGCGACGGCCAGCGGCGATCGCCGCGGCCCTCTCCTGGCGCGCCGGTGGAGCCGGCAGGCAGCCAGGCAGGCTGGCAGGGCGGGGCGGGCAATGCCAGAGGTAGGGGGGAGGAGGAGGAGGAGGGGGAGGAGGAGGGGGAGGGGGAGGAGGAGGGAGGAGGAGGAGGAGAGGAGTAAAGGAGGAGGAGAGAGGAGATCGGAGGCGGAGGCGGAGGAGAAAGGAGAGAAGGAGGGAGGAGGAGGAGGATTGGAGAGGAGGAAGGAGGAGAAGGAGGAGAGGCGGACGGGGAGGGGAGGAGGAGGAGGAGGAGGAGTAGGAGGAAGGGGAGGGGGAAGGAGGAGGAGGAGGGAGGAGGAGGAGGAGGAGGAGGAGGAGGAGAGGAGGAGGAGGAGAAGGGGGGTGGAGGAGGAGGGGGAGGGGGGAGGAGGATGAGGTGGACGGGGAGCGGGAGGAGGAGGAGGGGAGGAGGAGGAGGAGGAGGGGAGGAGGAGGAGGCGCCGCGTGAGAAGAGGGGTCGAGGAGTGGCGTAGGAGGAGGAGGAGGAGAGGCTGCTCGGCGGAGTCTTCCAAGGGTTCCAGGAGGAGGTGGAGTTCATGATGTCTGATTGGATTGGCGCCAGCCTGAGGCTGGAGGACGAGGGCCTCGGAAGGCCATGTTGACGTGTTTCGAACGGGGCAAGGCTGGGCCGAAGGGGCAAGGGTGGGCCGAAGGATGCAAGATCGGGCCGAAGGGGCAAGGATGCAAGGTTGAACCTTGGAAAGCTGCTCATCCTCACTATGCGCTTTTACTGTACCCCTTTCGCCGTCGATTCCCCCGCCATATCCCATTCTCCGTCTATCTCTTCCCCCCCCTTCCGCCCGCTGGCGTGCGTGCACCTCTCCATGGCTTCCCATGCTCTTCTCCCTTTCCCTTGCCACCCCACCGCTCCCTCCTCCCCTCCTCCCCTCCTCCCTCCCTCTCTCCCTCCCCCCTCAGGATCCCTCAAGCCCTCCTCCTCCTCCTCCTTCCTCCTCCTCCTCCTCCTCCTCCTCTCCTCCTTCCTCCTCCTCCCTCCTCCTCCTCCTCCTCCTCCTCCTCCTCCTCCTCCCTCCTCTCCTCCTCCTCCTCCTCCTCCTCCTCCTCCTCCTCCTCCCCCACCGATGCCATCCTCATCTACCTTCCGCTTCTCCTCCTCGGCCCTCTTCCTCCGCCCCCCTACTCAGCACACCTCCACAGTCATTATCCTTCTCCTCCTTCTCCTTCTCCTCCTCTTCTCCTCCTCCACCATCTCCTCCTCCATCTCCTCCTCCTCCTCCTCCTCCTCCTCCACCTCCTCCTCCTCCTTGATTTTCAATTAGGTTAAATCTAAAAATCAAGGTTTCGCCTGAGACATCGGGCAAAAACCAATAGGGGAAAAGTGAAAGTTTGGAGGGTGTCTCAAGCGAAACCCTGATTTTTGAAAATCCACCGGAATTTTTGTTTTTTTCGCTGGACTTTCTCGGGCCGTCGGATTTCCCAAAAAATGAAAATCCGAAGGATTCTCCGATAATCAAGGTTTCGCTTGAGACATCCTCAGAAAAGTAGCCTTCCACCATCACTTGTTGGCAGATGTCTCAGGCGAAACCTTGGTTTTTGACTGTAACCTTATTGAGAATCAAGGTTTCGCTTGAGACATCGGGCAAAAACCAATAGGGGAAAAGTGAAAGTTTGGAGGGTGTCTCAAGCGAAACCCTGATTTTTTGAAAATCCACCGGATTTGTTTTTTTGTTTTTCGCCGGACTTTCTCGGGCCGTCGGATTTCCCCAAAAATGAAAATCCAAAGGATTCTCCAATAATCAAGGTTTCGCTTGAGACATCCTCAGAAAAGTAGACTTCCACCATCACGTTTTGACAGATGTCTCAGGCGAAACCTTGGTTTTTGATTTTAACCTTATTGAAAATCAAGGTTTCGCGTGAGACATTCTCGGGCCGTCGGATTCTCGAAGAAATGAAAATCCAAAGGATTCTCCAATAATCAAGGTTTCGCTTGAGACATCCTTAGGAAGCAGCCTTCCACCATTACTTTTTGACAAATGTCTCAGGCGAAACCTGGCTTGTAGCTTTTATCAACTTGTATGTTTCTGGTGGTTTGAATTGACTTCTTTGATTTCTTTGGAATATGTGTTAAAAACTGAGAATAATGGTTATCAAAAAACGATGAAACCGTCCAGGCCTTTATACAGGCTCCAGTCGGAGGAGGAGGAGGAGGAGGAGGAAGAGCAAGGGGGGGCGGAGGAGGAGGAGGAGGAGGAGGAGGAACAGGAGGAGGAGGAGGAGGAGGAGGAGGGGGAGGGGGAGGAGGAGGAGGAGGAGGAGGAGGAGGAGGAGGAGGAGGAGGAGGAGGAGAGGAGGAGGAGGAGGAGGAGGAGGAGGAGGAGGAGGAGATGGAGGGGGATAGGGAGGGGGAGGAGGAGAAGGAGAAGGAGGAGGAGGTGGAGGTGGAGGACCAGTGTAAACCCAAGAGCCATCGCCGATGCTGGAATACACCCTCCCTCCAAGCTCCCTCTTCATAGGCCCCTACAACGGTTCATTACCATTGAGGGATCTGCCTCGTTGGAAGACAACCGTTTGAAGACCCATAAGCATGCCAAAACATTGTTCTCGGGATTCCAACGCCACGGATTTACCTGACTGTTGCGTCTTGACGATCCTGGTAACTGCTGCACCCGCAAAATCCTGAATCCTTCCAAAACACAACTTCTGGTACGTTGATCATGGGAATCCGTGAAACTCTTGCAAATGTTATGAACGAAACCACATTTTGAAAAGAAACCGCCCTCAATATGTGAAACTCTTGCAATTGTTTAGAACGAATGTGCGCGGCGTTGAAGTCAGAGCCAAAGTTTGAATACGGGTTATCCTCGATCCGTGAAACTCTGGCAATGTTTAGAACCGAACGTGCGCGGCGCTAAGGCGAGAGCCACAGAATCATAAATTGTGAGGAAAGTTTGCAACGCTCAGGCACTGCCAACGCTTAAGCTTCAGAATCACAAATAGTGAGGAAGTCTCAGGCGAAACGCCCGGCCCGCCCTAAAAACTGGCCTCGGGGTGCAACAGGGAGAAGTTATTCATAAAGAAAAGGAATGGAGGAGGAGGAGGAGGAGGAGGAGGAGGAGGAGGAGGAGGGGAGGAGGAGGAGGAGGAGGGAGGGGGAGGAGAAGAGGAGAGTAAGAAGGGGGAGGAGGAGGAGGAGGAGGAAGGAAGAGGAGGAGGAGGAGGAGGAGGGAGGAGGAGGGGGAGGAGGAGGGAGGAGGGGGAAGGTGGAGGGGAGGGGGAGGTGGAGGGGGAGGAGGCGGGAGGAGGAGGAAAAGGAGGAGAGGAGGGGAGGAGAAAGGGGAGGGGGAGGAGGAGGTGGGAGGGGGAGGGGAGGTGGAGGGGGGGCAGGAGGAGGGGGAGGAGGCGGGCGGGCCCCTCGTTCCAGGCAGGGCGCGCGGGCCGAGCCCGCGCGCCACGGGCAAGAGGCCCCTGCGGTCGTCAAGGGAGGGGCACCCGTGAGGGCCCCAGGGACACACGAATCAATAGGCACAATTCCCAGAAGTCCCCACACTCTCCCAGATCTTCTGGGCTTCCGTCTCCCCCCACCACACTTCCCATCTTTTTTTCCCCCACATCCTCCTGTGGATCGGCGCTCATCGGTGTCTGTGGTTCTTCCCCCCTCTGGCATGCCTGAGCCTGGGGGGCCGGGGGGGGGGCGGGCGGGCGCACCGGGGCAGCGGGGGGTGGGCGCGTCGAGGCGCGGGGGCGGGCAGGGGCCGAGGCGAGCGGGCGGGCGAGGAGGTGCGGGGGCAGAGGGGCGAGGGCGGCGCCCCCCCAGCGCGCGGCTTCCCAGGAGGCCGGACGGGCCTCCCGTAAGGCAGGGCCCTCCTGGGAGGCCCCGGGGCCACCGAGAGGGCTCCTGGGAAGCCGGGCAGGGCGTGTGAGAAGCGCAGCACCCTCGCGTCACCCCCCTGGCGGGCGCAGCCGACACAGTTGGGGGAGCAGAGGGGGGGAGGGGCGGGGGGGCGCGCGACAGAGCGCGCACAGTGTGCCGCGGCAAGGGCCGGGGTCTCCTCCCACAGCCGCGGCGTGGGCGCGGCCCTCCAGCGCACCAGCCGGCGCTGGCGGTGGTCCTCCAGGGCGGTGCACCGCCACCCTGCCTGCTTCCTCCCTTCCCGCCAGCCACCTCCTGCTGCAATGTGCGCAGCTCCCCTTTACAGATCCCGCGAAACACGATGGGCGGGAGTGGTCGAGTGTCTTTGAAATTACAGCTATCCCACCTAGCTTGTCCCCCCCTCTTTCTCATCGCCTCCTCGTGGCGCGGGCTACAAATGCCGCCACTTGCCCCCCACCCCCCCTCCCCCGAAGACAGTGGGCTCCTCTCGGGGGACAACGCCAGCCCTTCTGTTAGGCCCCGCTTCGCAGATGCTGCCTCCTGCATTCGCTGCCAATACTGGTGCACTCGGTTCCCAACCAATCTCCGCATCCTGCTTCCCGAGAGTGTCGCCTACCGGCCGAGTCCCCCCACAACCTCTGGAGGTGGCCCTGGCCAGCGCCCTGCAGTTGCTGGTGCTCCCCCTCTTCCACCACTGGCCGAAGACGCCGTAGAGATGTCGCCGACAGTCCCCTGCAGAGCCAGCTCGGGCCGAGGCAGCGCCATGCCTGGGTCCTCACTTCTTCGGCCATGCCGTCGGGCGGACCCGTAGGGCCAGCAGCACTTGGCCCAGGCCCAGCCGGAGGGGAGAAGAGCAGACGGGGCAGGCGAACGTCGAGTATGGCACGGCTGGTCTTAAGTCGGGCACGTCCCCCTACAGGGGGATTCTGAATTAAAAATACCCGAAAAGATACCCCAAAAATGCTCAAAAAAAGTGGAAAAAATAGTCCCACAACTATTTGTTCACTATTTTTGAATATTCCCCCTGTAGAGGAACAGGCCCGACTTAAGGCTGGTCCTGAGCCCAGGATCGGTGCGTACGCCCCCGTGGCCTGCCCAGAAAGGCATTTACACCGATGCGTGGCCCAGGGTTGGACCCACCAGGATCGGTGCAGGTACACACGGCGCCTTTCGAGGGAGGGCATCGACAGTAAGAAGGCATCAAGACGATTGAACATGGGGACGGTTGGGGAAGCGGGCACGGGCTGGGCGGAAAGCTCTGAAGCTCCGAAGCTGGGCAAGCGCGTTCCACTGCTCGCACACTGCTCACAAACGGCCCGGATCCGCCGCGGAGGCTCCACGAGACATCACACATCGAGACGAACGCGTGTGTTTATCGGACGCCTGCGGGCAGGCACTTTGCGAGCAGCGGAACGCGCTCGGCGATGGAGAGCGCTGCCCGCCGAGCCCGCGACCGGCTCTTCGTCGCAGGTGCCGGGCCCAAAAAGGGCCCCGAGGGGTGGCCCCGAGAGACGGAGGAGGAGGAGGAGGAGGAGGAGGAGGAGGAGGAGGAGGAGG